AGTGTGGTTATGAGTGAGGAGAAGATCCACACCCACACACCCACACCCAAACCCACATCCACACCCACACGTACCCACACCCACACTCACACCCACACCCCGCAGTCACACCCACACACAGCCACCCACCTACACCCACACCCACACTCCACATCCACACCAACACCCACACACACACACACCCACACCCATCCACAACCTCTTTTCATGAATAAACATTAAATTCTTTTGCATGGTATTCAATACCAAGAAATCCAATATTATTATTTGAAGTATTTCGATGAAATTCTCCAAGACCAAGATGAACTGAACAAGTTCATTTCTTATCAATAAGCATAGTTAAAGCAATATCGAGTAAATTTGAAAATTGAATTACATCTCGAAGAACATATGTCGATGGATTATCAAAACGGAAAGTTATATCTTGCTCAGTTGTAATCCAAACTTTTTGTTCTCAACCAATTGAAGCTTTACTGTAAGCTCCAATTGATCCAATAAGAGAAGCATAATCAAAATTAGCAAAAGTATGTGATGTTGTATATCTTTATTTGTAATAATCATGAAAATGATTAGCATAAACTTCATAAGATGCATTTGGATGATAGACAGTTATTGTTGAATATTTAGCCATTGGAGCTTTTTCATCTCAATCTAATGAACGAAGATGAAGTAATGTTGATGATATTGTAGATTCACTCCATGTTCCTAATATACTGCATGCAGCATTAATTAATTCTGGAAGTAGATTAAGTCGACGACTATCTTTATATAATACACCACTACCAGCAGCCAGACCTTGTAGTTCTTCATCATACCATGGTGGTGTATATTTATGAGTAATATCATAATTAACGAGGGAACATTCCCAAGTAATACCCACCGTTTCAGCTCATATTGTGCCCACAAGTAGATCTCAGTGAGACTAGAGAAAGTCTAAAAGGGTTCGTGCCATTGCGCCTTGGGAGCCGAGTTAGGCCTGATTTATTGAATTTTCGACCCTTTTTAAGGTACTGATCGAAAAATGAAATAATGAAGTTTTCATCTGAAATTTCTACCATAGATAGTTATACTTATACCTAGAATATCCTGAAAGTTTCAGCCGAATAGAATGTCCCTGTGTCGAG